AAAACCCCCAAGGCTGGAGATGCCCCCTCTCGGCTGACCAGCCCCCCCCTGCAGCACCCTCTAGGGGAAGGTTCTCCTCATTTTCGATCCAAACCTGCCAGTTTGTGGCTGTGTCCACTTCTTGTTCCATCTGCCACAGCCATTCCCCCTGCCTCCATGTGAACCACGAACAGACAAAACCTGAGGGTCACCCCCTCACCAGGCTGCACTGTTTGGGTGGGTGAGGGACCACTTCACCCCGCCTTGGGCCACCTGGCCCTGGTGGCACTGGGAGGGGCTGTCACCATGAGATATGCTTGCAACCTGCAGCCTTTGAGGTGTCCTCCCTGGCTGCGACTCCACAGGGTGGCTCTCAGGAGCTCACGGCCTCACAGTCCATGGGAGCCCCAGCACAACGCACACCCCAAGCCCTTCCCTTTTTTGTGCTCACAGATGTGCTGCTGAGCGGTGCTTATCTGTGATGGCCAAGGAAACCTGAGGCTTGAGTAAAAGCCTCAGGCAGAAACGTTACGGTTGGGTTTGGACAACTAGCCCCATTTTCCTGCCCTGTCAGAAGCCCTGCCAGCACTGGCTGCAGTCCCTGCGTAGGAAAATAAAATAACCAAGTGATTCTGTGGTCAAGATGCCAGCTAAGCAGCCGTCTTGCCCAGGAATTGCACTGACAGATTGGCACAAACCAGCCTGCCAGTTCTCCTTGGGATTTTTCCTTTCGTTGCTGTCTTGCCGAGATCATTTTTCACTGTTTCCCCTTCTGAGCAGTCTCCACTGCTACCCCAGCCTTATCTTAAGCTGCCAAATTCAAGGCGACCCTGGGCAGGGCTCTTGGCAGTTTGTCGCTGGCTGTCACGTCCTCGCAAGCCGCTGGGTCTCTGCTCCCAGCCTGTGTGTTGGTATTTGCTGTGCACACTGCAGCGGTGCTCAGGATCCTCATGGTGGCTGGTGCTGGACACGGATGGCACCTGGTGACCTTTGCTGAAGCCCAATGTGATGCTCAGGTCTGAGCTGTGCTTGGCAGCCAGGCCCTTCCCCTGTCCCAGGGTGGATTTGCAGCCTCAAGCTGACAGCACCCAATTTGCACCCATGGGTTTCTGGCATCTGTGGCTTCTTGGGAACATGCTGCCATGGCAAACAACCAGCTCCTCTGATTCCCCTTGCTATGGCAGCAAAGGAACCTGGTATCTGCCAGACTGAGCCCACCTAGACAGATAAAACAACTACTACCACCATACAAGCAGCATCAAGCTCTCGGTTTGTGTCAGAGCTGCAGATGAACAGGCATAAAACCAGGACAGCTCAAACCCTGGGCCCTGAGCTATTCCTCCACCTCCTCAAGGCAACCTGGCCAGGGGTATCGTTTCCCAAACTACTCTGAAAGCCAGATAGGGGCTCCCTCCCCACCTCGAGACATTTGCTACTCTGCCTAGCAGAAGGGTGAGCAAACACAGACTTTGCTTTCTCTGAAGCTGCAGCATCCCTGGTCCACAAGCAGAGTTTCCAGCTTTCCTCAAGTCAGGAGAAGATTTCCATGAGATTAATTT